GTAGAAACATCTACCACAACACCTTACATAGGAACACCTACCACAACACCGTACATAGAAACACCTAGCACAACAGCTCATGTAGAAACGCCTACAACACCTTTTGTAGAAACATCTACCACAACACCTTACATAGGAACACCTACCACAACACCGTACATACAAACACCTAGCACAACAGCTCATGTAGAAATTTCTACAACACCTTTTGTAGAAACATCTACAACAACACCTTACATAGAAACACCTACCACAACACCGTACATGGAAACATCTAGCACAACAGCTCATGTAGAAACGCCTACAACACCTTTTGTAGAAACATCTACCACAACACCTTACATAGGAACACCTACCGCAACACCTTACATAGGAACACCTACCGCGACATCTTACGAAAAAACATCCACTACAACCTCTCATGTAGAAACATCTACCACAACACCTTACATAGGAACACCTACCGCAACACCTTACATAGGAACACCTACCGCAACATCTTACGAAAAAACATCCACTACAACCTCTCATGTAGAAACGTCCACCACAAGGCCTGGCAGAACAACAATATGTTCTTGCACATACATGAGTCAGACTTTCCCTCCAGGTAAACATTGTGCTTTTTCTTCACTATTTTTATCACCTTAAAGTTAAAGTTTTTCAAAATGCAATATTGTGCTGTATATAGTAATATGCTGTAGATGTCATGTTCTAAATGTTCTTTCATTGTTGCGTAAACCTTTTATTAGATATTTGCCAAGCTATCTCTATCCACAAAAATAACAAAAAACATTCATTCTAATGAAAATTTTAAAAAGTATATATTCAGAATTACTTTGTACATAATTTGGGGCTGATAATTTAAGGGGACAAAACTTAAATAAAAACTGTTATTTTTAACATTGCCACCTCCCTTTATGTACAGTCTGCAAAAATGACAGCATTTTTTTTTCATAAAAAATATTTTCTGCTTCATTTAACACTTTTTAGTTACTTTTGATCTAATTAAGGACCTAACTAAGCTCAAGCAAAACACAAATGTTTTATACAGTATGTAGTTTGTTTTTCTCTGTTTTTGTGTACCACACATTAATCATTATTTTGATCCTACAATCTGTTTTACTTTCATGTAGGAAGTTTTATGTACAATCAGACTGACGGAAAAGGCTGGTGTTTCACTGCATATTGCAATCTGGCATGCAATGTTGAAAAGAATAGCGGGCCATGTAGCACTACAACTCCACGATCTACTCCACCATCTACTCCATCTACCACAACCACCACTGGCTCAAAAACTCCCGTTCCATCTTCTCCTGACTGCACATTCCTTACACCACCTAGAAAGGTATTTACAATTAGATGATGTTTATACTTAAAAAGATGTTGAAGGAAGACAGGAATGAAGATTTCTTTTTTATAAAATGTGCACATTGATTTTGGTTGTGGATTGATAATAGTCCTAAATTGCTTTACAGAATGGTGAAACGTGGAGTTCAAGCGATTGCACAACTGAAACATGCGTAAAAGGCAAAGTAATCATAACGTATGTCCAATGTCCACAAGCACCTGTGCCAAACTGTATGAATGGATACACACCAGTAAAGATTTATGACGCAAAAGGTTGCTGTTTTCAATACCAGTGCAGATGTAAGTTCAAACAAAACTAATATGATTTCTCATTGCTACACATGGAGGCTAAAACACAGAAAGTGCATGGAGTATTTTTTGTTTCTTTGTTTTAACACTTTATGTGATAATGTCACATTTGCAGGTGTTTGTGCAGGCTGGGGAGATCCTCATTATATCACATTTGATGGCCAGTATTATAGTTTCCAGAAGAACTGCACATATGTCTTGATCAAGGAAATAGTACCTCGATACAATTTTACAGTTTATATTGACAATGAAAACTGTAACCCTTCTGGAACTGTTACCTGTCCCAAATCCTTAATTGTGCATTACAAAAACTACGAAATCATTCTCACACAAAGAAGACAGCCAACAACTGTGAATATGGTAGGTTTTGTCACAGCAATCTGTGTTAATTCTCCCAATTATTTATATGTATTCAAATCAAATGCAATCATTTTTTACTTATCACACTTCCTTTTAGGCATTTGTCAATGGGAAACAAGTGACTCCAACCTACATTAATGCAGATTTCAACATCACAAGTGCAGCAATTCAGCTGGTTTTGCAAATCTCCAAAATTAACGCCGTTGTAACATTCAAAGGGCTTTTATTCAGCGTTGAACTGCCATTTTCACTTTTCCAGGGTAACACAGAGGGACAGTGTGGTAAGCTTTCTTTTAAGTCCTGCTACAAAAGTCACATTAAAATGGACATGAAGCTGCAAATCGAATTGTGTACTACTGTATATATCAATACAACAAATTTTGTTCTAAAGTACGTAGATCCTCCAGGTTTGGCAGCACATTCCACTTTCTGTGTTTCCCTAAATTTAGCCTGTTTTTTTTTAGTATTGTTCTTAATAAAATTTTCAAAGATAACTCTAAACTGGGATCTGGAGTCTACAAAACCTTTTTAGCGTGCTTCCTTAGGGAAGACAAAACACAGCAGCTAACAGAGAGACTGAAACTGCAGGCCCTGTGCTCAGTGAGCTCCAGCTTGTTAACAAATCTACCTCAGAGCAGCTTCAGTAATCTCAGTGAAAGAAATGCTCTGACTTGCTTATGTGTAAATCATAAGGTCATTAGCCAGTAAATGTTTAAATCACTAGTTTATACACACACGCACGCACGCACACACACATGTAGGGGTGGTGTTACAGGTGGGTCTGTGGGTTCGCCCCCAGAAATTTTTGAATAAAGTAGATGCCATTTCCTGCATTCTGGTGTATTTTAACGGACTGTTGAACAGCTACGTACATTCACCTACATTTGTAAACACTTTATTCAATACCTATTAGAGAGCAACAACAGCTCTACTTGTGAATGAATAGAGCAGCTCCGCTTCTGTCAATCATCCTAACCCCCGCCCCCCTCACCTCACGGTTCCGAGCCCGACTCTGCTCCATTGAGTCCTGCGCATTGTTGCTCCTGCTCCATTTTTTGAAAATGAAAGTAAATTGGACTTTCTTTTTGACATTTTGATCCCTGTTACTTTGATAAATTAGCGCCGTTGTTTTGACACGTGACGTAATGTGAATGATGCACATCAAACATTTCTCTCATTGTATTTTTAATAAATAATCACAATTTTATTAATAAGCCACTTAAACTGTCAAACGGATTTGCAATTTAGTTGTGCTGTTTAATTATATTTGTTAGTTTTTTTAATAAAAATGTGCAACGACTTTGGACTTTTATGGGCGGAGATTTGAATTACTGGATCTGAGCAAACAATTTCCGGAACGCACCCTGTCAAAATAAGAGCGTTCCCGGATCTTGTTCCATCAGGATCCGGCTCAGATTAAGCACTGGATGTGGGGTAATAATGCATTTCTTGTCAATGTTTGTTTTTTTACAAGGTGTTTGTGATAATGACATCAACAACGACTGCAGATTACCAGATGGCAGAATTCATCCATCATGCGCTGACATGGCAAATGAGTGGCGTGTATATGATAAGAATAAACCATATTGTAACAATCCAACTCCAACTATTCGACCACCTAAGCCGCCAACAACTCCAGTGCAAACGCCATGCAGACCTGCTATCTGTGACATCATAGTGAGCAAGTAAGAATTTATGAAATAATACAAATTCTCAATTAAATCCGCATCGAAACTAGAATAACCCTCATTTTTATTTATTTTATCTTCCACATTAAGTGTGTTTGGGGAATGCCACAAAACAATCCCACCTCTGCCATATTATGAAGCCTGTAAGTTTGATGTTTGCCACGTGCAAAATACCAGTGTGGGTTGTTCCAGTTTGGAGGTTTACGCCTTGTTGTGTAATGCCGCATCTGTCTGCGTATCCTGGCGAGACGCTACAAAAGGACAGTGTGGTAAGAAAAGCTTATTTCAGTAGAAAAAACATATAGATGTGTTTTTTTTTTCCATTTAGCATTTTTCATTTATGTTGATGATGTAACTACTTTTTTTCTTGCAGAATATAAATGTCCCAAAAGTAAGGTCTACAATCCCTGTGGTCCAACTGCTGAAAGAACCTGCAATGCAAGGTAAACCCACAACTCATACTGTATAAATTAAAGAATACCAGCAGTCTGTGAAATAAGGAAGTTATTAGAGAGAGAACACTGTTTACTTTGATTGTGTTTAGTCAAATTTCTGCTTGCATGCCTATTTCAAATGTTTTATATGATCACTAAACAGGATGTAGAGCTAAAGACTGAACCATTTTGAAAGTTGTGTTTATGTCACTTCTCTGCCTTTATTTAGCTTCTTACTTCTGCTGCTCTACTACAATAACATTGAAGTTAGTGTTGTAGTAATCGAGACCGCTCTTGGTCTTGAGATCGGTCTCAAGACCACTTTTTGATGGTCTTGGTCTTGTCTCAGACTCGACCGCATTTGGTCTCAGTTTTGTCTCGGACATTGAGGACTCGAGATTTTATTTTTTATTTACTCTAATAAACCTGACACACAAGACACCATCATTTATTTCTCATTTTAAAGCATTTTCTAATTAGTAGTTGAGTGAAAACCATGATTTTTGAACAAATAGATTGTGTAAAATTAGAAAAAAATTAAAAATGAGAAATAAATGAGGGTGCCTCGTCTGTCAGGTTTAGTAGCTTAACATAAATTTTGTGCCAGTGGGTCACGACATGAAAATTATTGTGCAAAAACCACTGAGTGTCTGATTTCTTTATGTAGCTTTGAAATTTTATAAAAGCTGATATATTCATTCAAAAGCAAACTTAAAGTTGCAATATGTAACTTTTATAAAACTATAGTTACAGAAATTGGTTTTTACATATTTGTTAAAACTGTCTGTCACTGTATCGTGACAATATATTATAAAACATATAATCTGTGAAAAGATTGAGCTCCAAGACTTGAGGTCTTGGTCTCGACTTGGTCTCGGACTCCAAAAGTCTTGGTCTTGTCTCGGTACACTCTGGTCTTGGTCTTGACTTGGTCTCGTGTTAGGCGGTCTTGACTACAACACTGACTGAAGTCACTCTTCCATCACGTTGTACAAAACATCTCTACTTTTGCTGTTAGCATCCACTTTAGCTAGTATTAGGTGCATGTTTTGAATCAGCCATGGAAGCTGCAACAACAAGCCAAGTTGAATAAAGTCAAGTTTATTCAAGTCGGGCCATTTTAATAAAAATAAAAAAAAACGCTAAAGATACAGAGTATGTGAACATTAAACAATGACCAATGTCATGCACAACAAAAATTTCTTAATCGTACAAAAATATTAAAGCTCATTTGTTGTCAGTGGGACGTGTGGTTTAACATCAGCAAGGGATCCCTGATGTAAAAAAATTATAGTCTAACAAAGTGTAAACACACAATATGTAAGCAAAAGGATACAGTTCACTTAATAAGAACTGTTTTCTGAAAGTTAAAGCAAACCCTTACGTATTACCTCCTATCTGTGTTGATCCAGGTTCTAGGGAGAATTTTAATTTCTGATATAAAAATGTGTTTATTAAAACTTGTTATTCTAACCTGTGCTATCATGTTGCAATACAAAGTTGGTAATTTCTCAAAAGATTATACATTTATATGTGCTAATTATCAGTTGTTTTCATATTTAGATACAATGAAAGAATTGACAACCAGTGCAAATCTGATGATAAATCTTGCCAACAATTCGTGGAGGGATGTTTCTGTCCAGCCGGAATGATTCTGTTCAATTCAACCTCGGACGTCTGTGTCTCTGCCTGTAAGAACGCTTTCTGTTGTTGTTTGCAGAACAATAAAGTTTTTAGTTTTTGTGAATGCATATTCAGGTAAACTATTTTTGAATCACTGAAGGTTGCAGTGGACCTGGTGGCAAACCTCAACAGGTAAATATTCCTCAACATTATATACTTTATTATTACTCACAGCATGTCTGTTGCTGCAATGACATTTATATATTTGTTCACCACTCAACAGATTGGTGATACTTGGCAAAGTGATTGTCAGCAATGTGTTTGTGATAAAAACTCTCTGAGTACTGTTTGCGAGCCCATCAAATGCCCCACACCTGAACCAGTAAAGTGCACCGAAGAAGGTGAGGTGTTGGTGAGCCAAACCGTTGACTGCTGCCAGAAGTTCACATGTGGTGAGTGATTTTAAACACCACATAATACAAAGCATAACACAAACAAGTGTAGCAACACACCCTAAATTAACAGAAAAGCTGACACTGCAGAGATTGTAAAAAATAATCATTAATTATAAATGTATATGTTTGAGTATAAATGCAGTTCAGTTAAATTAAACTTCATTTAAAAAGCCCTTAAAACTCCGCAATGGAACAAAGTGCTGTACAGTGCAATGCAACAACTATACAACTAATTCAATAACAGTAGAAATAAAAGACAAAAAGTAAAAAGAAAAATCAACACCTAACAAGTAAGCCAAAGTATAAAAAGTAATTTCAGGCAAGGCTTTGAAAGCAGCTAAAGAGGATGCCTGTCTAATGTGCAAAGGCAACGTGTCCCACAATTCTGGCTCCACTGCCCGAAAGGCTGCGTCCCTCTGAGCTTACGTCTAGTTTTTGGTCCAGTCAGGAGCAGCTTGTCAACAGAACTGAGAGAACAGGCAGGTACGTAAGGATGGAGCAGCTCAGAAAGATAAGGATGTGCAAAACCATTCAAAGATTTAAAAACAAATAAAGGAATTTTAAAATTGATTCAAAAATAGATTAGCAGCCAATGAAGATATTTTAAAACAGGTTAAATGTGATTAAACTTTCTTGTGCCAGTTAAAATATGTGCCACTGCATTTTGCACCATCTGTAGACAGGGTACGGTAGACGCACTGACCCCAACATAGTTCAAGTTCAAGAATCTTCATTATCCCCATGGGACAATTTGTTTCACAGTCAATAGGCAGTAGGTACACAGAACATCCTCCAGGAAATCCTTGTAAAAGAGACTGATGATCTCAGTGGATTTCTTTCTGGTAAAATAAAGTAATTAAACATCCATACTAGTCAAGACATTGAGACATTAAAATAACCATACAGAAATCATCATTGTTCATTGAAAATCCTGGTCACCGCAGGGATAAATTAGTTTTTTAGTCTGTTCGTTCTACATCTGGGCAGAAGATACCTGCGTCCAGACTGAAGCAAGGATGATCAAGATCTGCCAGAATCAGCCTGGCCTTGTTCACTGACCTCGCCTTGTGTAGGTCAGTGAGGTTCTGTAGAGCTATGCCAGCAGTTTTGCTGCACATGCTGACAATCCCCAAGAGTTTGTTCCTGTTTCCGCAAGTCAAAAGTCCAAACCAACAGATGAAGGTAAAAGACAGATAAACATACAGCATCATTAGTCCAGCCGAGCTGTAACGAAGGCGTGGATCACTGTTTCAAACAACTGCTGGCAAATAAAGGGCCTTATATTGGCCAACTGTGTCAGATGGAAAAAAAAAACATTTTACAACTGATTTAATATAACTATTGAATTTAAGATTGACATCAATTTGAGCCACTCAATGAACCAATGAATCAATTTGATTTGTGACAGTTTGATGTACAGGGCAAGATGTAAGATGTAAAGAGGCAAAAGATTTAGCGTTACCAAAAAACATCACTTCAATTTTCTTATTGGGTGGCTGTGGCTGAGTGGTTAAAGCAGTCGTCCTCTAATATGAGAGTTGGGGGTTCGAATCCACCAACAGTCACATGCTGTAGTGTCACTGGGCAAGACACTGAACCCCTCATAGCCTCTGATGTGTGTCCCATCGGAGCATGAATGTGATCTAAAAGCACTGATTAGTCTCATTAGAATGATCTGTTCAATTAGCTTTGTAGAGATCTAGTATAGAGCTGTATGAACGGGTAAATGAGGACACAGATTGTAGTGAAAAGCGCTTTGAGTATCTTGAAATAAGATAGAAAGGTGCTATATAAGTACAGTCCATTTACCATTTCTTGTTAATATTCAAAATATTTAGAGACAGTATCTTTTCAAGGCCATCAAGTAAGGGTCTGGCAGACAGGGCATCCTTGTTATTTAGAGGCAGATAAATCTAGATGTTGTCATAATAGCAGTGGAAAGGATACTGTGCTTCCGGAGCCAAGGAGGAGAAAATAGAGGGAAAATAAAGGAGGACCCAAAATGGAATCCTGAGGAACTCCACACACAATGGGGGCAGAAAAATATTTAAAATCACAGAGGCTGACAGAGAATGTTCGACCTGCCAGATGGGACCTGAACCTGTCAAGTGCCACGCACCTAGTACCCATCCACTGTTCTAAACGAGCAATTAAAATGTTGTGATCCACTGGATCAAATGTAGCTGTCAGGTCTAAAAGCACAAGCACTACACAATCAACAGAATTGGTAGCTAAAAATATGTCATTAAAAACTCTTCAAATAGCAGACAAAGATGTGCAAAGTTTCAACATCGAATTGGAAAATCCTCTAGAATGTTGTGTTGTTCAAAGAAACATCCAACAATTGACTGTAGACTATTTTCTCAAGGATTTTTGTCACAAAGGGCAATTTAGCAGTAGGTCTGAAATTACCCGAGACTGTGGGGGCAAAAGAGACGATAAATATATAAATCTTCATGCTTTGGTGTGAAGATCAGACTGGATCAAGATTTCTAAGAGATTAATGTAAAAGTGATTAATGCGGGATACAACCAAAGACTACAGGACCTTGAACATTTAATTTCCAACAACTGACAATTATTTGTTGTTACATGCTGCTATTTGCTTGTTTTTATATAATCGTCTCCTGCAAAATTTGCAAAAAATGCAATATAAGTTACAAAAGTGTTGCTTCACTAGTATAATTTTTTCTCTCAAAGGTTTCTCATAAAACGGTGTCAAATTCTCTATACAACACTAAGTCAGTTGACTGAGTCTATAAGTAATGTGGCTGAAAGTGACACTTTTTATTAAACGTGCCTTGTGTTGTTGATGAACTAAAAGATGTCTGATGTTAAACCAACAGAGTGCGACACGAGCCGCTGTTCCTCATCAAGTCTGAAGTGTGAACCGGGCTTTATGCTGAAAGTCACTGTCTCAAATGAAAACTGCTGCCCCATCTTAAGCTGCGGTACGTTTTTAGTTTTACTCCGTTACTTACAGTTTACATGTATTCTTAAACAATTAAACTCAAGTTTATGCTATTTTATGCAGAGCCCAAAGGCGTGTGTGTCTACAATTCTAATGAGTACCAGGTAAGAACACACACACACACACACATATATATATATATATATATATATATATATATATATATATATATACATATATATATATATATATATATGTATATATGCACACTTGTAAAGCTGTTGCTTACAATTTTCTCATGGGTTTGACTCAATCGTTGTGTTCTGTTGCACACAGCCAGGTGCAGAGTTCTCTAAAGGCCCATGTGAGCAATGCCTCTGCACCCAGCAACAGGATCACAGCAGCAAGTTGAACAACATAGAGTGCCACCAAATACAATGTAACGTCTTGTGTAATGAGGTACTTCTGCATTTATTTAGTTCAAATTAACGCCAGATAGGTTATATAATGAACTAAATTTAAATATCAGCACATGGTAAAATATTAAGTAGTTTACTTGTACTTTATTTTCAGAGTTACAGTAAAGGTTTAATGCTCTGTGCACGATTATCCATATACTTCATATATACGTGGATGGTCATAGGTTTAACATTTAAAATTCATCAGATCATTCATTGATCTAAGTTATTCAGATCATATTTTGACAAATTGTTTCAATTTGTTGGGTAATGGATTTCCTTAGCTTCTTGTAATAAAGTGTATTTATGTTTTTGTTAGGGCTTTGTGTATACGGATCAGCCTGGACAATGCTGTGGTACATGTGTACAGACAAGCTGTGTTTTTGACGTTCCAGGCATTTCTACTCCAATAGTTCTTCAGGTAAATACAACACAAAACAGCGAGCGTCAAAGGTGTCTGTAACAGGAATTGAGTTGTAAATCAGAGTGTACTTTTACTAACTAAACTCTTGTACACATTCGGCAGCCTTCACACTCATATTCGCCACCAAATGACAACTGTGCCAAGTACGACTGCCAGAAAGTGAGAGATGAATTCATGGTTTTAAAAAAACAAACAACATGTCCAGTATTTGATCCACAAAACTGTGTTCCGGTGAGTATTATCACACTTTGAAAAGATAATTCGTGACATTTTATGATAAATATAGTGAGTGTTGAGGGATTTAATGTGCATATTTTAACAAAGCATGTAAGTTGAGTCATATACAATGTTCAGATCTGGAAAATAAAAACTACTGTGCTTGAATTAGAATAGTTACATTGCAGAAATTAAAGCGTGCTCTCTGCAACTAAAACAACATGTGATATTTTTCTGTTTTATAGGGAACTGAGAAAAGTGACATGAATGGATGTTGCCAAACCTGTAAGTACGGGGTAAAGGACATATAGGGTAGGGGACAGTATAGGATAGTATTGTGGTTTTAGACTTTAAACCCAAAACCCAAAACTCAAGTGTGAATCCTTCAACAAGGTTTGATGACTCACCTGCAGCTTCTTCCTCGCTGTAACGTTTTTCCTTTTGGTGTTCGCAGGTACTCCTCTTTACAACTGTCAGCTGAACAGGACCACCACCTATCTGAAAGTAAATAAATGCACGTCCGTTGTGCCCGTGGAGCTCACTGCTTGTGAGGGATCCTGTGGAGCATCCTGGTCAAAGTAAGATTCATAAGAATGTATCTACAAAATATAAACAGAAAGTATTCAGCTGTGCTACAAAGCTCTTGACGATCAATATAAAGTGTTGAAAGCTGGCACTCTATGGCACTATCTGTATTTGCAGGTACTCAGCAGAGTCTAACAGCATGATGCATTCATGTTCCTGCTGTCAAGAAATAACCACCAGCAAGAAGGAGGTGGAGATGAAGTGCCCTGATGGCAGAAAAACTAAATCCACCTACGTTTCCATTGACAAGTGTGGCTGCAAAGAGACAGAGTGCGAGGAGCAAGACGAACATTAATTTCAAAAGCACACCTGACAATTTGTGGGGAGAATGAATCAATCTTTCACCATTTCTGAATACACAGCTACATGTAATTAATTCATCCCAAAAAGTGGAAACTTTTAAAAAGCAGACCTGTGCTGGTGTGATATCTTACGAATCAACGGGATAATTTGAGCTTGCACCATCTGTCATTTCTTTCTTGTCATTGTTTACGTAATTATAAGTTGCTGTATCTCATGTTTCAAACTTCTGCCTTCAGCTTTAATAAAGTTTAAATTAACTAATGGTTTCTATGTTCTTGTCAATAAAAGTTCACCAACGTTTCATGCTATTTTAATAGAAAAGTTGAATTTTCATTATATATTACATATCACTTCATGCGTCTTATGTAGACATCTGCAGTAGCAACAGTATGTCCCAAATCATGCTTATAAAAGACACAAAGGAATGGGTTAGTACTGTGCTGAGCCCCCCACGTGCATAAAGAGTAGCTGCAGTGCTTCTTCACATTGATCTAACTTTACTGAGAAGATGGAATGTTTTACATGAAGATAACAATAAGAAGTATTAAAAAGGTTGGGGCAGAAATGATTCTTCAAAGAATGAAGTGATTACTTGCAGCTTGGTGGTGGTGGTGGTGGGGGGGGGGGGTGTCATTCGTTTATTTCAAAGGGTCCAAATTGTTGTTTTTTGCAAGTGTCACATCTGAAATTGACAGTCTTAAGTTTTTCTGCATAAACAGAAGTTTTTAAATGTACAACTTAAAAATATTATTTGCTTACCGTTCGTCAATTAGTCAGTACCTTTCTGCTTGGAGATGCTTTGCTTTGGCAAAATACCAGCTTTGTTTTACAGATTCTGTTAGTCTCCAACCACATAGTTTCCAGCACCTTGGCCAGTGAATTTAAGCAAGTTGTAAATTGCGTGCATACAAATAAATTAGTTTTAAACTTGTCTAAAACCAAAAGCATAATATTTGGATCGAACTGGAAAATAAAAACTAAACCTGTCTATAAATGGAACAGCCACTACTCAGGTAGAAGAAATTAGACGTCTGGGAGATGTTATGGACAGCAGATTGGAGTGGTCATGGCAAATTGAATGCACTGTTGCAGTGATGGGAAGACAACTATCGTATTTTCCAGCCTATAAATCGCACCTTTTTGCCTAATTTGCATACCCTGTGACTTATACAATAAAGCGACTTATTTATGGATTTTCCCCATATTTATAAACCAATTTTTGACTGAGACATGACCATTTTCATTCATTCTGACATTGAAAATATTGAACATTACCATTTTCAGCGGTTAGATGGCGCTCGAGTAGTATGGTATGCCATTGTGTCATGTAATAGGTAAAAGTGGCTATTAATGACACAATCGGCTAAGCCACCTTCGTCCAGCTTGCCTGGAGTAACCATCAAATCAGCTTCATTTTGCTGCGACATCCCGGTGAAATTTAACAACTTAAGTGCATTTATTAAGTAAAAGTTCAACTGTGACACATCTTTGCTATAATGCCGAGCAAACAAATAATTGTTTTAGGTGCTTATCTTGTTAAATTTTGAAGAAATGTGCAGTGTTCCTCCTTTCTGATTTCCTCCCTGTCTGCGTGCTCCCGGAGCACAGAGGCAGCGAATACTTTTTAAATGCAACTGATTGGATCATCAAAGTGCATTTATTAAGTAAAAGTTCAACTGAGACCAGCTTTACTATAATTTTGAGCAAACAAATAATTGTTTTTAAGTGTCATTCTTGTTAAATTCTTGTTAAAGTCCTCCGGTGCACGCTACTGCGGTCGCCAGTTGGCAGCCAATCGATTTTTGGCACACCGGCCCACATTCCTGGGTTGTCAGCGATGACGCAGAATAGGTGCGACTTATATGGCAAAGCAACTTATATATGGATTTTTCCAAATTATTAGACATTTTGGGACAGATGCAACTTATACTCCAGTGCGACTTATAGGCCGGAAAATACGGTAGTTGTTCTAAAAAGATGTTTAATAATAATAATAATGTCATTACAATGTCAGCACTGTATGTTTCCATACAATGGCGAAATTAGTCTCTGCATTTAACCCATCCACCACCAGGTGGTGCAGTGGGCAGCTATTGAAAGCGCCCGGGGGACATTCTGGGGATGAGACGTGCTGCCCAGAGACGCCACGTGATGTGCAGTGACTGGGGATCGAACCTGGGACTTTCGGGTCCCAAGCCGGCTGCCCTGCCTCTACACCATCTCACATTATATACCATTAAAATTAATCCCTCGGATTATTAACACAGTTGTCTTGTGTCACTTGCAGTATCGTCCTATGGTGTGATCCAGTGCTTCAGAAAAATACTGAACCAAACTACATTTAGTCAAAAAATTCTTGCATTGAATTGTCCCATAATATTATCAGTATGCACAAAGCATTAAGTTGGCCTTTGGTTAAAAATAAGGTTGAAATTGCCCTTTAATGCTTTTGTGGTATCGAAGACACCAAATGTTTTATATAATCAACTTTAATTTAGCCAAACTTTACACAATTTTAATACAAAGCATGCTTTAAAAGGTTGTTTTACTCTTCCACCATGCAACAGGAATGCTGGAAAAGACTGTTATTTTTAAAGGAATGAAAACATGGAACTCTCTTCCTTCATCTGTGTTAAATGTAACAACTGCGAGAGCTTTTAAAAGAGCCCTGTTATTTTTTCTTATGAATTAATTATATTATGCTATGTTACTAATGTTATATTAAGTGTGTGTAACTGTCTTTGTAATAAATGTTTTTTTTTAATGATGTGGACCCCAGGAATAGTAACCACGGCAATGGATAATGGGGATCCAAATAAATAAATGCAAAATACATAAAGAGAGAAATCCAACCATGAATGATCTGATCCAAAAATCATAATTGAACTTTTGTCCTGGGTCCTCTACTAGAGGTCTAACTTGAGTGTTCTGAGCAGGATCTTAGCTGTCCCTAGGTGTGCGCTTTTCTTGACAAAGATGTTTAAGGTTGTTTGGGGATCTGTTGGAACTACTCTTCAAGTTTGGGGATCAGCATCAAATACTTTGATGATCATTGACACAAATGAGACCTTGACTCTCCACACTTCTCTAATTCCTCTTTTAGACTTTGGTTATTCTCCAGTTTCTTGAGCTCCTTCCTGCTTTTACAGTTGCTTGGGATTACTACATCTATCAACACTGCCTTGCTCTGTAGCTTGTCAACCACCACAATGTAACTTTAACTGTGGGATCTCCAGTTCATACTCAACACAGATGTTCTTGTATATTATTCCAGTCACTTGGTTATAGCATCCATGTACAGGTATGCTTTGCATGTCTGCATCTTATATCCTACTAGAATGAGCTGAACTATCTCAGAGGCATCCTTGCACAGCCTGTATCTTATGGTAGACCCCAGACTTCAATGATCTTGTGCTGCGAGCCTGTTCTTGTTCTACCATGATTAGTGACTCTGTGCTGTCATTCAGTTCAGCCTTCTCTAGCCCCTAGTAAAATTTATTGAGATCAGCTACTTCCACAATCTGACGTTGGTACATGCTGTTCAAGGGATTATCTTTCAATGATGGCTCCTCTTTTTTCTCCTCTTCCACACAGGGTTTCGGCTTTGTTACTGATTTACTCCAGGGTATTTGTTGTTTCATCCTGTATAATGACTCTGACACTCTGACCGTCACTTCTTTCTTGGTACAGTACTCCATGCATTGTGTGAGGTTTATTTGTCTTGATTTCAGGGGCTTCTATCTCCTCTTTTGGCCAGGCTAATGTACAAGTAGAGTGTATCTGTTGACTGGCAGGCATACTAGTTAATGGCTTGGACTTTGTTCTTACCATTCAGCTTGCTTTTCAGGAAAATACTCTATTTGATTTCAGTGTATGCCTGCTCATAATGTTTTAAATGTAAGATAGTAGTAAGAAGGGCAGCACGGTGGCGCAGTTGGTAGAGCTGCTGCCTCTCAGCGAGCAGGTAGCCCTGGTTCAAATCTTGCCCAAGGGGCATGCGTGGGTTTTCTCCAGGTACTCCAGTTTCCTCCCACAGACCAACAACATGCATGTTAGACTAACTGGTAACTCTAAATTGTCCCTAGGTGCGAGTGAGAGAATGAATGTTTGTTTGTCTCGTTTGTCTCCATGTGTCCCTGTGATAGACTGGAGACCTGTCCAGGGTGTCCCCCGCCTCTCACAGTGATGGCTGGAGGCTGGACATGGGCATCATTGGCCACTGCATCCCAAAAAGGAAGAAGCAGGTAAAGATGATGGATGGATGGATGGATGGATGGATGGATGGATGGATGGATGGA